ATTGACCTCCCCCCCCCCCCCCCCACCACCCCCCCCCAAATTGTGTTTGTGTGTATATGCGCGTGTGTGGTGTAAGTACCCCGTGCCTTAATCTGCATAGGTTATGACCTTGATCCGTGCTGAAAATACTTATTATTCATCGTTATGCTTCGAGGTCCCCGAGACACAGCAGTTTAACACCAGTTCACGACACTGCTGTCCTACAAGTCAGGCGTTGAAGGGACTATACGACTGGCTATATATGGGTTTGGGGAAGAAAGAGACAGAGAAGCAAGCAAATGGGTAAATACACGCGGCGGTCAGTAGTGTCATCATCATCAATTCTCGTTATGCCTAGAGAGGACTTTCCATGCTTCCCTGTCCTGTGCAATCTTCAGTGCCGTTTTCAATGTCAGAGATGCCGCACTCAGGTCACTTTCCATTCTTTGTCTACATGTTGTTTTTAAGCAACCTTTTTTTTTTTTCTTTTTCCCTCTGGTTTTGGCTGGTATATCAGGATTCATTCTCATAACGTGCCCAAGCTATTTCCATCTTTTCTTTGTCATCATATTGTCTAGAGTTTCTTGGTTTGTGACTTGAAATAGTTTAAGTGTTTGAGATTGTATCTGGTCAGAAAACCTGCAGCTTGTTACTAAACTATAATTATTTTAAGCTATAACAAAAGAAATAACATGTTTGAAAACATTATTGAAGTAATTAGAAGGACTGTTAGGACATTGTTAAAATAATGTAGAAACTAAAGCTTAAATGGTTCAACCACCCAGTGAGAATGAATTCAACGATGCCAGCAGCGCGTCTACGACATGAAAATGGAAACACCAAAAGGCAAAAAGAGAGACTTATAAAAAAAAAATAGATGGATTGATTAAGCAGCCACTGACAACGTGAAATTTCACAACACCACAGTATAACCAAGCAATCGAGTGCGCCCCAGCTCGACTACTTGTCATCTGTTGAACTAACGCCAAGCGGCACAAAGCAAATAATACGTCTCCACAATAAAGGTTAACTGTAACAGATCTCCAACACATTCTGTCTCTCGACTTGGTTGTATACTCCTTCTTGTTCAGTCATCTCTTGATGTTCTTCTTCCACTCTATTCTTCTTAAAGTCTTTCTCTAATGTGGCAACAACTGGCAGACTCAGACATATCTCAGTATTCTCAGTTGTCATTAAATTTTATTTCTTTTAGCAAATCTATTTTTTCTTCCGTTTCAAATCTCTTGAGAACCTTTGTATTTAATTACCTTTGTTTCCCTGAAATGACAAAAGAAAGCAAGAAAACGAACAAAATTAAGGAGAAGGAAAAAAGCGTCCACCTACTTCTTGCCAACCAGAGCGCCAACAGTTGAAAATATGGAGGGGCTTCACTTTTGGTACTCGTCCACGTCGATTCTACATCCGGTATCGGCACGGTGTTTCTCAGGATGATATATTTCATCAGTTAGCTGCCGTCTCCATAATGAAGATGGCTTTAATGGATCACCAGCGCTAGAAAGGTGTTTCCTCAGATTGCTGTTTATCGATCTCTTGATGCTGTCCCTCCACTTGTATCGTTGTCTATCTCTTGCTCTATTGTCTTTAAGTTTTTCCTCAGGTACGGTGTTTAAAAAAAAAATTATGTCTCGAAATATTTCATATTTAACATAATTATTATTTCAAATTATTTCCTACCTGAGCGGCCATTCCGTGAAATTCATAATCTGTTTAAATCACCACACATCACTGACATAAATAAGAGCTAACATACTGAAATTGTTGGGACATTTAGAGAAAATGGCAGATGACAGAGAGGCAAAAACTGGGAGTTGAATAGACGTAGACCAAGAAAAATTTGGAGATGCAGACCTCCAAACACCTATGGTCACCCCAAAAAAATTATCAGTCACAGAGATGAATGGAGGTGGGTGATACATGCAGTAGTGAACCTCATGGGTTAAGAATGCTGAAATAGTGTGAGAAGCGGTTTTTCTTCTTCTTCTTAAGTAAAATAAGGGAACCTTTCCACAAGTGTCGCACATAGTGCATATGATGCTAGACTCATAGCTGTATAAACCAACTGACACTTGATGGGTGATGTAATCAATATCATGCTGGTTGCATTTACTTCCCATGACTTTACCTGGTACCCATTTTAGGCTGGGTCAATCTGGGATTCAAGCTTCTTCTGCGTTCGCCCTTTAAAGGGTGGTTGGCATATTGTGTTGCAGTTTACAGCTAGCCGGTGAAGTGCGTGCTTAACATATGCGGTTTCATCAAACCCCTAATTAGTAGCCTTTAACAACATACTTGCTGAGTGACCTCAAAATTGGGCCCTGGAACCTACACAGGAGGCATAGTAGTTAGAGCGCTGGGCTCATGTGGGAAATCCAGTTTCAATCATTGGTAATGGATTCTTTTTTGTTGTTGATCATTTTGTAGGCAAAAACTGAATTCCACAGTTCGTGGCAACTGCACTAGACATGAAGCCTCAAAGCCTCAGGTTCACAACCTTACCTAGTCGCTCCTCTTTTACCTTGGGGTGTAGAGGTTTGCCAGAGAGATCGCCAGACGTCTCTATCCGCAGTTTTCTTTCTGGTTTTGTTCCATTCCAGTCCTCTGTCAGTTAGGGACTGTCGGATGTTGTCTTCCCAGCACACCCTGGGTCGTCCCGGAGGTCTGGTTCCCTGGTTCTTAGCCTCCCATGCCTGCAATGGTGGCCGATTTTCTCCCATTCTGCATACATGCCCAAACCCTCGTAACTGTGACTGACTGATCTACTCGGGTTAGTAAGGGCTGGGTATCAAGATCTTGACGTATTGTCTGATTGCGGACTTTGTCCCTTCTTGTCACTTGGACCACCTTAGGTTCACAACCTAATAGTGGTAAATACAGGCAGTAAAGGCTAAAGACAAAGGGAACATAAACAATCCCTGGGATTTGAACAGATACGAACTAAATATTATCAACATCGTGTGCCCTGTGGATAATCACCGCGGCCTGCCATTTTTCCTTAACTACGATGAAAACAAAAACTCAACTACGATGCTTTTGCTCTTCTTTGGAATGTCCAGGTCCTTTTGAAAAGTTCAAGTCACTTGGTATTTTCTGTGATTTGGCCATTGGTCTAATAGTGATTGTTTCATGTCACAAAAGACATATAAAAAGCCATATGTAGGAGAGGCATGGGCAGTGCAGATTCTTAACTGCTTGTCACTTCTTCATCTCATCCTTCCCTCCTTCTCTGAAGGCGATCGATCGCAGGTAGCAAATCTGGTGTCATCAAAAATATTAACATTGTTCGTGACATTATTTGTTGCCTAATTGTTTTATCATTCCATGGACATCTTTTTTCTTTCTTAAAAACAATTGGGGGGGGGGGGGGGGTGTTTTTTGTTGTTGCTTACTGCGCCCTGAAGGTCGTCACAGGTTTGTTTTATGGATGGTTTATCTAGTTTACGCGTGCAGTTTTTTTAGGGGGGAGATCTGTGGAGGAATCATCACTCGACCTGCATGAGGACTCACAAACAACATACACATCCTACTCTCTCACATGAGGTAAGGATCACCAAGTGTTAGAGAAGTCAAGAGTCAATTTTGTTTTGAGTTCATTTTATTTATTAGGAATTGGAAAATCATAAGAATTAAAACTGCTGCTGTAAAACTAACAATAATATATAACTGAGTCAAAAGCCATGACAAGAGACCATCACAGCAAAATAATAAACTAAGATGTAACAATTTCATTTCAGCTAGCATTAAGAGGAGATAACAATAACTACATACAATATAGTTGCAACTCTCATAAAAATTCACATTATTTTCTGTTTGTATGTAAATGTCTTCACAATCAGAACACAAACTATATGTATCATTCTTTTGTTCTTTTTAACATTATAACCATACAATAAGTATCATTATACTGCTCTTTTTAACAATATAATCATATAATACGTATCATTAAATTATTCTTTTTAACATTATAATCACACAATACCAAAAATTGCATTCTTCTTCTTAATATACAAATTACAATCTCACAATACATAGCACTCTATTGTTCTTCTTAAAATACAAATTACAATCTCACAATACATAACACTCTATTGTTCTTCTTAAAATACAAATTACAATCTCACAATACATAACACTCTAATGTTCTTCTTAACATACAAATTACAATCTCACAATACATACCACTCTATTGTTCTTCTTAACATACTAATTACAATCTTACAATACATACCACTCTATTGTTCTTCTTAACATTCAAATTACAATCTCACAATACATAACACTCTATTGTTCTTCTTAAAATACAAATTACAATCTCACAATACATAACACTCTAATGTTCTTCTTAACATACAAATTACAATCTCACAATACATACCACTCTATTGTTCTTCTTAACATACTAATTACAATCTTACAATACATACCACTCTATTGTTCTTCTTAACATACAAATTACAATCTCACAATACATAACACTCTATTGTTCTTCTTAACATACAAATTACAATCTCACAATACATACCACTCTATTGTTCTTCTTAACATACAAATTACAATCTCACAATACATAACACTCTATTGTTCTTCTTAACATACAAATTACAATCTCACAATACATAATACTCTATTGTTCTCTTTAACACACAGATTACAATCTCACAATGCACACCACTCTGTTCTCTTTAATACACAGATTACAATTTCACAATACATACCACTCTATTGTTCTCTTTAACACACAGATTACAATTTCAAACCAGCATGTCATACATTTTTTTCTTCTTCTAAGTTTACCCTTAAAACGGCAGTTTAACTGTCAACTACATTTTTTTTTAATGTGCTTGATGGTTCTAACAGATGAAGAGACCACAGAGTGAAAGCAAAAAAGTTATCAATTAATCACTGTCAATTTTGCATAAAGGCCAATAAAAACAACCTAGAAGATCAATTCCATGAACTGAAGTTGAAGAATTTAAAAGACAAAAAATAAGAAAGAAAATAAATCAAATATTAAGAGGTGCATCCCTTGGGAGTAAACCCATCTCCTGTAAGCAGATGGCAGCACACAGGGCCTTGGCCAGTTTCTTGTTGGAGCTGGCTGAGGCAGGCTGGTACTCGACATTGTTAACTTGAACCTGGCAGAGACAGAAGTATATAAAAATGAATGTTCTGTTTACATGATGGAACATTTGCTCTATATGAGTCTCTAAAAGAATATGAATGGAACATGAGTCTACAAGAATCTGAACAGAACATTCAGTCTAAAAGAGTATGAAAAGAACATTCAATTAACAAGAATATGAATTGAACATTCAGTCTACAAGATGGAACATTTGCTCTATAAGAATGTTAATAAAGCACTGGCACAACAAGAATATGAACACTGTGTCAACTCTAAAAGAATATAAATTTAACATTGACTCTACTTGAAACTGAATGGAATTTTTCTCCTCAAGAATATAAAAATAACATTAACTTTACAAGAATATGAATGAAATATTGATGCTACAAGAATATTAACATTACATCTGCTCTAAAAAGAATATGATTGAAACACTGATGCTATAAGAATCTGAAAAGAAAATTTTCTATAAGAGAATGAATGAAACAATGATGCTACAAGAATATGAACAGAACATTTGCTCTATAAGAGCATGGATAGAAAGTTCTAAAATAAGATGTGGGGGTCTTTGAGCCAGAGGATTAAAGGCCGTATGGCTAGTGCTGTTATCATGGCCAGTGCAAGTTATGATTTCCACATTGCCCTTGACAGAAACAAATCCATTAACTTATAGAGGATTCAAACTTGGACTGTCCACAGGAGAGCCCAGTGTTCTTAACTGTTTGGAAACCACTCCTCACAAGAGCAACCCTGGGCTGTAGTAGAGATACCTTACCGTCCTGTTTAGTCTTTCCTCTTCTACCTTAGCATAAAGAGGTAGCCTAGAGTCTTGTTTGGTCCTTCCTCTTCTACCCTAGGATGCAGAGGTAGCCTAGAGTCTTGTTTGGTCCTTCCTCTTCTACCCTAGGATGTAGAGGTACCCTACAGTCTTGTTTGGTCCTTCCTCTTCTACCCTAGCATGTAGAGGTAGCCTAGAGTCTTGTTTGGTCCTTCCTCTTCTATCCTAGGATGTAGAGGTAGCCTAGAGTCTTGTTTGGTCCTTCCTCTTCTACCCTAGCATGTAGAGGTACCCTACAGTCTTGTTTAGTTTTTTCCTGTTCTCACACTGTGCTGTAGAGAACCCATAACTCGGCAGGACTGGGAACAATAAAAATACTAAGGGAAGAACAATCAATAATGAAACCTTGATGAAGTGAAGAAAACAGGAGACACAAGCACACAGGTTACCTTAAAGAGAAAGTTTTTCTTATGATCAGGCCCACTTTCTGAGACCACAGTGAACAGAGGTGGTCCCCATCTTCTCCGGTTACACAGCTCCATCAATGCAGAAACTGGATGTTTATCTGTTGGAGAACCATACAGATGAGGATATATCTGGTTTGATTTATATGGTGATAGGTTTATACAGGGAACAGCAGTGGATGTGTGTGCAGACAGAGAAAGATTTATGAAAAAAATAGTAGTGGATGTATGTGTTGACATAGGCAGACTTGTGCAGAGAAAGATTAGTTGATGTATATGCTGACAGAAATAGATTTATACAGGGAACAGTAGTGGATGTATGTGCAGACAGAGATATATTTATGAAAAAAAATAGTAGTGGATGTATGTGTTGACAAAGGCAGACTTGTGCAGAGATAGAATAGTTGATGTATATGCTGACAGAAACAGATTTATGCAGAGAAACAGTAGTGGATGTATATGCTGACAGACTGATTTATGCAGAGAAACAGTAGTGGATGTATGTGCTGACAGACAGATTTATGCAGAGAAACAGTAGTGGATGTATGTGATGACAGAGACAGATTTATGCAGAGAAACAGTGGTAGATGTATGTGATGACAGACAGATTTATGCAGAGAAACAGTAGTGATGTATGTGCTGACAGAGACAGATTTATGCAGAGAAACAGTAGTGGATGTATATGCTGACAGACAGATTTATGCAGAGAAACAGTTGTGGATGTATATGCTGACAGAGACAGATTTATACAGAGGAACAGTAGTGGATGTATGTGCTGACAGACAGATTTATGCAGAGAAACAGTAGTGGATGTATATGCTGACAGAGACAGATTTATACAGAGGAACAGTAGTGGATGTATGTGCTGACAGACAGATTTATGCAGAGAAACAGTAGTGGATGTATGTGATGACAGAGACAGATTTATGCAGAGAAACAGTAGTGGATGTATGTGCTGACAGACAGATTTATGCAGAGAAACTGTAGTGGATGTATGTGCTGACAGACAGATTTATGCAGAGAAACAGTAGTGGATGTATGTGATGACAGAGACAGATTTATGCAGAGAAACAGTAGTGGATGTATGTGCTGACAGACAGATTTATGCAGAGAAACTGTAGTGGATGTATGTGCTGACAGACAGATTTATGCAGAGAAACAGTAGTGGATGTATGTGCTGACAGAGACAGATTTATACAGAGGAACAGTAGTGGATGTATGTGCTGACAGACAGATTTATGCAGAGAAACAGTAGTAGATGTATGTGCTGACAGAGACAGATTTATACAGAGGAACAGTAGTGGATGTATGTGCTGACAGACAGATTTATGCAGAGAAACAGTAGTAGATGTATGTGCTGACAGAGACAGATTTATACAGAGGAACAGTAGTGGATGTATGTGAAGACAAGAGATATATTTATGCAGAGAAATAGTGGTGGACTTGTATGTTGGAAGAAAAAGTTTTAGGGGATGAAAGCAATGGCAAACTATTGAATGCATAACTGCCTAGTAAAACCATAACAGGCAACAAGTACCGGGGCTGGTCTGTAACTTCATGTAAAAGATACAAAAGAAAAAGTGGAATGACTTAGAATGTATTCTCCCCCCTGATCCTGGAAAAATAATGTGACGACTGGAAAGATCACTGCTATAAGAGGCTGAGGCAGACCAAGAGAAATGATGGTGGATGGCTTAAGACAGTAGCATGGAGGAACATCATCAGTGATATTGATCCAGAACACCAAAGACCGAGATCTGTGGAGATGCATGAATGCCTACGCTAGCTGGCAAGGCACTTGATGATGATGATGATCACAGGGCAGTGGTTTCGTCTACCAGTCTTAGTAGACTAGGGTAATTAACTCAGAAGGTTGTGGTGCATCTTAAAAATCCCTCTGCCCTTGGGTTCGAAGTCAGAGTGCATCTGCCTGAGAGGCAAGGAACCAACAGTCTGCTCACAAACAAGCCAGATTTGTAAAACAGATGTGCATGTGAAACTCAAGTTCTGGAACAAGTCTTAAGTCTAGAAGTGGACAAACAACCAGAACTTTATACTGGAGTTTACAGCCGGTGAATGTTACCAGAAGAAGAAGAATACAATCCTTGTTAGTAATTCTAAAATTTAAAATACATTCTTCAGTCTGACTTTAAAAAGTATGAGTCTGTGGCAGACCTTCAAACATAAGAGAGGTCCAAAGGTCTTAGCTAATTAAGAACCGCTGCATCAGCCAATAAACATACTCACTGGATAAATCTTTAGCTCTGGGTGCAGCTGCCGGAGCTTGAGCTCTGTGTCTGGGATTTTCTGCTGCAGTAGTTAAACCTGAAAGAGTGAATAAAGAGACACACTGAAGCTCTGAACTGGTAATTCAATACTGGAAAGCCCCCCCAAAAAAAGAGACTACTAATAATATGATAAATTGCAGGCAGTTCAACTGACACATACAACATGCTGGAAGCAGAGAAAATATTCCTGTAACAAAATCGAAACATTCTGATGCAAAAATATGCATCAAACAAGGGTATTTTAATGGCTATGCTTGTTTTCGGTTTTTTATTGTACAGCTGAGTTGACTTGAGTTGAGTCAAGAATTGACATCATTTTACTCGGGGCATTCCCATATCTGCTCTTTTAGAGGAGAAGACCAAGAACTTCTATGAAGACTGTGATGTGATGTCTCCTTGCCAGTGGTTTTCAGAGGAGATGACCAAGAACTATGAAGACTGTGATGTGATGTCTCCTTGCCAGTGGTTTTCAGAGGAGATGACCAAGAACTTCTATGAAGACTGTGATGTGATGCATGCCATCCACTGATCCCTAAACAGCTGGGTTTCCACCGGAACACTAACTGCCTAGACGTGGGATCTTTCTACTGCATGTAGACAGCACGTCTGCCATACATGTTCAGTATTCTGTAGTGCCAGTGACACATTCGCCATACATGCCAGAGATGGTACTCCTACAGAGCAGTTAGAAGCCTTGAAGATGAATAAATCTGTTATTATTTGGCTGTTACCTTTGCGATCCACTTTAATGTCCAGCATCAATGGTTCTTTGCTGCCTTCGTTATTCTTCCCAAGACCTTCTCCTTGCTTCCAGCCCATCTTCTGCAGCAAAAACATACCGATCCCTCCATGGACTGGTGCAGCCTGGGATAGCTGTGTCTGTCGAAGGTCACCAGAGAAAGGTCAGTACGCAAAAATAAACAACAGATGTTTGTTATAATACACTCCATTCTTTCAGTATCAAAAACTTGTTACTTTTAACTTGTTCTATTCTAAGAGTTTGTTACTAATTTATGTTTAGATCCAAGGAGTTAAAATAATAGCACTTAAGTAAGCAATGGGGCAGAATAAATAAGTGTAGCAACTGGATGATTTACACAGAAAAGTGTCAGGTCATTAGGCTCAGCAAACTCGTGAGCTACTTGGTATTTGATGGGTTAATCAACCATTCTTGAGAGGGGTTTCGTTGACCCCATTTATTTTTAATAAACAGGGTTTGCAACTGTATCTATTACAACACAGTGTTTCAAACAGAGCATCAGCAGTGTCATTATAACACCATGTGTCGCTGGGTCACCAGTTACCGTTGACTGTGTAATCAGTTCTCTCCACCTCTGTCAGTCAGATGCAACAGTAAGTAAAAGTAAAGATCACTTTTCATGACTTTAGGCGCATCAGGTATATGGGAAAAGCACCCATATTTTTACAGACCCGTTGGCACTAGGTGGATAATGTGGTCAGCATTACGCCGGCCGCCTTTACTTTCCTAGGATATACATCCTGGTACCCATTTTAGGCTGGGTCGACCTGCGACGCCCCATACCATGATAAAAATCCATGCAGCCAGCAGTGGGTTTTGATTGTGGTACGTCGCAATTACAAGTCGGACTCACAATGCCTTAGCCATGGACGGCGCTAGATGCAAAAGACTTGATGTTTGCAGTCTGTCCACTCAGCCAAACTCTGTATCCAGTCTTTCTTGGTCTGCCTCTTCTCCTATTCCCCTCTACTTAACCCTGTAGTAATTAGTAGTTTAGATAAGTTTAACCTTAGCGAAGTGGTTGCAAGTAGTCATGGCAACAGTATTGCCCACAAAATAATCTGCATGCTGCCTTGAAGAAACTGCAGCATTATCGAGTACAAAGATAAAGGCTAGGCCAACGATTTATTATATGTTTAGCAAGACAATCCATTCTTGTTGCATTAAACTATTCTGGAACTTCTTGACCATATCACTGAGTTCTAGTATTATTATCAACAGTAACAATAAATTAACAAGACCAACTCGCCCTTCAGCTAAGCTGATTTAAGAACTGACATCAAAGCAATCAGGGCATTCTTATATGTGCTTCATTCTCCTCTTCAGCGGCCAGCCAAATGTTTTAATTCAAATGGTACCAGTAGCAGTTTGATTATATATCCATTATGCCTTTCCTCTGGTGTAGAGTATTAGCCAGATCCTCAGGTAAGTCCCTGCTGCACCATTCTCTCCATACCATAATGACTATCAGCATTTCCCAACTGTTTAATGGCTCATTTAAAAGGGCCTCGACCACGTCTAGCTTGTCATGCATTAATTTACCACCCAGTACTGCACACCAGCCAATTTGTCTGCCTGTTCATTTCCTCACACACTTGCATGCCACCGAGAAAAAAGTTCATTGCAATGCTAACTACTAGGAACCACTGAGACAATGCTTGCCCCTCTGACACATGTCTATGTAAAGGAACAAATAAACAGGAAGACTCAACAACCTTCATCACAGAAGAAAGTAAAAATACAACATTACACAGTCTCATACGAAGAAGAGAAAAATATACATCTGAACATCATTAGTACTTGAAAACCTAAAAATATGTGCACGTGAATGCCATTTAACTCCTTTACCCAGAGAAGCTCCAAACCTGACACTTCCACTTTGGTCCAATCACCTATAAATGTACTCTGCCAAATCTGCTATAGTAGCTTGTTTATGACAAGCCCTGCTAACAGTATTGGTTCTGTATGGGTCTTTGCAAAAGTGTAAGATGACAAGAAATTATATGTGCTTTAAAATAGCAGGGTTTTTTGTCTGGAGGAAAAAACTTTTAACAGACATTATGATGTAATAACTTCCCATTAGTCATAGTGGTAACCCAGTGACAGGGTCATCGAGTCATGATAAGTCACAATATAAGTTTGTTAGGCTCAAAGAGATGTAACATTGTGTTTTCTGATTACTCCTCTTATTCTATGTTGAATCTTTTGGGTCTATAATAAGAAATTTTGTGTTACCTGTGTAAAATGATTTTATTAAAAGATTTTTTTCTGGAAATACTTGAAATATGGGTCACTGGCTTTGTTGTTTTCTAGGTCACAGGGTGAAAAGGTCAACAACAAATAACCAAACAGAGATGTTTTGGGTAGACTTGGGATGAAAAAGAAAATAACGCAAGAAACAAAATAGAGATAAATGCAATATTTCAGCCACATTAAAAGGCATGACACTCTTTAAAAAAAAAAAAAACTATACTGGAGGCAGAAGCTGAGAAAGAGGTAGATGGTAACACAAGTGGAAAGTCAACATCAAGAGATGAACAAAAAGCAGTCTGGGGGTGCAGAACATCTAGGCTGAGAGGCAGACCATTGAGAATTCATTGCAAACAATATTCAATATTCACTGTGGAGATGGTATTTGACTGAGTAAATATCAGTTATAATAGTGAGCCCTGTTCTGAGATGAAACATCAAGCGATTTCTGTATCCATTGCAACTGTGAATTCTGACTTCACTGCTCATGTAATCCTTTTGATTCCAAGTATTCCACTAGCAGAGTCATCTAGTTACTGTAAACGTAACAATTTTAGTTTTTTTCCCTAAAGGATTTCTTCTAGGAAATATCCACAAAATGGGTAAAAAGCTAGCCTTTTTTTTCTTCCTAGGTCATCAGATTAAATAAAAGAGTTAATATTGGTGGTCCATTTAATGCTTGGACATCTATTCAGTATGAGTATGGTTTCCTTGCCATTTCTTAATACATGCCAATGGCAAGCATGTTTTGCTTTGGTGCGTCAATGGTGCTTCTTCATCTTCTCTAGACCACACTGCGCCTTTCACTGACAGATTTTAAAAAGGCAAGTGATGCAATTGTTGGTTTGTGCTTTGTAGATGCTTGATATCATTGCCTCAGATTCCATCTATCAACAGCCTGGGTGGTCAACTTCTAGATCTGCTTCCGTTGTATCTAAGTGAGAGGGCTCTCTGTGGTGCACTATCTTGGGTTTCAATAGGTCCTCTAATATCAGTGTTTACCAGCCAAACAAATGTTTCTTCCTCTCCTACAATCTCTCCTTCATCCTGGGAGGTGGTAATAAAATATCTGAAAAACAGAAATACTTGAGGAGCTTCTGCATACCATCACACTAGCCAACTCCGTAACACCGGGGTTCAATCTGAGTGGACCCATCCTCGAGGTTCTCAAGGATGACCCGCTTCAGATGGAGCAACATTCACTTCACATAAAGTGATAGTGCCTGACTAGTGTGATGGTCTGCAGCCAGCCCAGGGCCATCTGTCACGGCAAGGGTCGAACAATCAACCTGTAAAAGACATGGAAAGCAGAGGCTTACTGCCTGCTTGCAGGAAGGAGGTATCTGCAGGCCTTTCAGTAACAAAAAACTTGCAGATACCAGAATATGACAATGGGTGTATCGGCAGGCCTTTCAGTAATAAAAAACTTGCAGATACCGAAATATACTACAGGGTATATTGGCAAGCCTTTTGTTAATTAAAAACTTGCAGATACTGAATATCATACAGCATGTGTATCAGCGGGCCTTTTAATAATTAAAAACTTGTAGATACTGAAATGTGATAACATGTTAGACTGGACTATGATAACATGAAGACTACACTCCGCAATTAGCGCCAATGACACTGACAACAAATTAAAAAACATAAAACACATTATTCATTTTTCTTCAGCATTCTAAACCTTTGAGTTTCACTGCAGATATCACCCACCTCCACTTATTTTTGTGATTGGCCTTCTCTTTCCAGTTGGTGACTCAAAGTGTTCGAAGGTCAGCATGTATATTATCTCTCTACCATCTTCTTGACATGTCCCGTGGTCTACTGCCATTAAACTCCTTTTGTGAATGCACTTCTGTCTCTCTGTTATCTGCCATTCTCTCGCTGTCTCAACCACTGCATTCTATATGCCCTCATGCTGCCAGTCATATTTTTCTTGTTCACATTTCCCAGCTGCAAAATGCGGTGGAAAGTCCTGACTGTTCATCCATTTCTAGACTTTGGTCTTATTCCAGAACTTTGGTTTTTGCATACTTATCTGTTTTACAGATCTGACTTCTTTGTATGCTGAGTGTTGGTTTTTTGTCTATCAGGCAGATGCACTGACTTCAAAAGAAACACCTCTAATTAGCTGGCTTTTACCATATGCTTGTTTCAGGAGTAGTGGGTCTATTAATTTGTCCCCAAAGACAGAGCCCAGGAACCCACAAGAGGAATCATGCCAGTAATTAATGCTGATTTAAATAGATTATAAATGTCACAGAATTTTAACCCTACAGAAAAAAATGCACACTGAAAATTCAACCAACCAATCAGGCACAGGCTTATATACAGTGCTGTTGGCTGAATCTTGTGTGCACATGAATGAATGAACAGATGGTGGATGAGGACAATGAGAAGAAATACAATACAGACTGTTACAAGAAAACAAGTATGGTATGTGAACTGATATAGTGATATTGCTACAATCAAAGCTTGTACTTCACGGCACATGAAAAGAAGAATAAAAAGAGGAGGAGCAGAAGAAGATGAAGAAATAGAAGAAGTCAGAGGAGTAAAAGGTAGAAGAGAACAACAAGTAGATATACAATACAGACTATCATTATGAAACCAGTAAAGCAAATATATTTATATGAGCCTGACCTTTTAATAGCAAAGACAAAAAAAAAACACTATCCATGAAGCAAAGCATGTCATCTAAACATGCAACACTGATCTATGATTTGGTGACAATGCAACATTGCCAGGCCAGCAGGCAAGTAACCCATTATTTTCTTCAGCTAGTGAGAGGCGCCTGGTTACATATACAGCTAAGAACAAAGAGCTAACATTAAATTCTGTTGTAAAATTAAAAAAAATAAAAACTTTTAAAGTTCTCATGAGCGCTAATTCCCAGAGTATTACATCACACTTGTAAGTATCTGAATGCTTAGGATAACATTTATTGATTTAATGTCCAAATTGTCAGGCATCACAAAAAATGACTAAATACCAGAACATCACATCGAATGGCTAAATATCAAAGTATGGCTAAATTCAAGATTATGACATCACATTTTAAGTGCAGTTGTACCTCAGAATTTGAATGCCTCAAAAATAACAACTTGGTCCTAGAGTGGAATTTTAAAGTAAATTTTTCAGAACTCAAAGGCCACCTTGGAAACTAAACATCTGACAAATGTTCATTTGACTGAGCTGACAATGCAAGAGCTTCAGCACCTTCACCAGCAGCAGAAGAAATTTTTTTTCTGGGAGGAAGAGGAGGAAGCTAGAAGGATCAGCACTGCTGAAACCCAAGATCTTTTGACCATGTGGTCGAAAATGCAAGAAGCTGAGAGAGGTGGCACTCTGACAGAGCCGTATTTAACAGGGGTGTTAACATATTCCACAATAACATTATCAAACACTTTACAAAAATAAAAAATGGTCACCAACACCAGAGATGGAAAGCTCGCTGTCAACAAAAATTAATGACCCTAAATCCTCTTGTGGTGAAAGACTACAATATTAAATACCAGGGAGGATTGCTGACATTACTCTGGAAGGTGACCCCTTCCAAACAATAACCTCCTTAAATCCTTCCATTCTCCTCCTGCTCAAAAGTGCTATGTCACCAATTTTACCAAAGTCGGAGGTCACCATTTTGACCAAAGTACGGTAAATAGAATGTTTTTATTTCTGTTATTTATTTGATGTTTGTATGCAAATAAGATTTAGGAAATTACATTTTGAAATTTGAATTTTTGGACCCTAGGACAGATTAATTTAGTTTTCATTATTTTTAATGGGAAAAATTGCCTTGCAGCTCAAACAATTTGGAATTTCGAATGCCCCCTTGAAACAGATTATGTTCTAATTCTGAGGTACTCTTTACTCAAATATGAAGGATCACATTTAGTTAGTTAGTTGCGTATCCTTTTACAGGACGTTGCAGAACCAACACCAGCATTTTTTTGGCTGTTGTGAAGAATCCCACTGGCAGATCAAATACCAGAATATCAGATTAAATGAATCAAGACTGGAACACACTGGACAGTCCACACAGAAATGAAGAGCCAGCAATTCTGTGTCTGAAGATAGTGTCAACAGGTGTAATAAAATGAAGTACAGAAACCAGACAAGAGCGTACCTTGGTGGCCCAGGCCTGGCGTCTCCTGTCCCCTATGAGCTGTTCTTGAGTTAGGACCTGGGCCCCTGTACTACCTACAAACTGCCCTGGCAAGTGTCTGGAAGTGGCCCACTTGCTGGCCTGAAATATCAACAAAACACTCAGCTCCAGGTAAATGTAATCATCATCATCATCATGTAGCAGGTCCTTTGCAGAATGTCGATCTTGTTACGGTCTGCCTGAAAGAGACTAGGTCTCTTCGCCAGCCCTCCAGTCTGGTGCATTGATGAAGCACCACTTTTCTGCTCTGCAGGCAATCAAGAGTAACTCTAGTTCTCCTGTTATGTAAGAAGGACTGGATCCACTTTAGCATGATTCCTTAGATTCCATTTATTTTCAGTTCTGCAATGAGGCCATCTTTCCACACTTTGTCTAAAGCTTGTCTGAAGTCAACCCACACCACCAGAACCTTTTTCTTCTCTTGGAAGGCATCTTCTACAGCTTGTGACATGTAGGTGACTTGGTCTTCTAAGCTATAACATTCTCTAAATCCAGACTGTCCTGATACCAAGATCTGCTTAGTTCTAGGTGCCATTTCAGTCTTGAATTGACAATTCTCTCAACTGTCTTTCCTACACAGCTTGTGATATTAACTGGTCGATAGCTTGAGGCCTTGGTCTAAATCCCCCCCCCCCCCCTTTTCTTTAGTAAGGGTACTGTGATGGCTTCTCTCCATACTTGAGATACCAATCCTTACATTTCCTTGGGATGCCCATGAAAGAAAGTGAATGCCAAAATGGCCAAAAGTTAAGAATGTTGGGCTCTCATGCAGGAGACCCATGTTCAATTCATCGGTAAACTCAGATTTTAATCTTGGAGGCACAAATAAAATCCAGCCTACACCACAAAAGTGGTAAATACAGACAGTAACTGGCAGTCTTTCATAGTCAGCCCGTCGAATCTATTGTTTCAGTCTCATTCATTTAAGAGTCTGGGCAAATACGAAGTCTGGCTGAAGAAATTTAATGTGTCAATTTTCATGTCATCTTTAATATAAAACAGCAAAGTTAACTAACTTTAAGTTATTCTAATATATTTTTCTCAGCCTTTCCTGGCTGTAAACCCTGGTGGAAAATTATAATTGCTCGTCTACTTCTGGACTTTGGTTTCGTTCCAGAACTTGCTCATCCCGTTCACAGATCTTATTTGTATGCAGGCTATTGGTTCCTTGCCTCTCAGTCAGATGCTCTCTGACTTTAAAGGACATCCTCCTAATTAGTTGTGTTTTTACAACATGCTTGTAAGGGAATCAGTGTGTCTCTCCCCCCCCCCCCCCTCCCAGAAAAAAGGGGGTCGCAGCATCTACAAGGGAAGTAACTCTGATATAAATGGTAAAATTTCATTGGACGTACTTGTTGCTGCACCTGATGCATCTTAGACAGGGCCTGCATGTCGTACGGGTTTTCCTGCAACTTCCTGACTGCATGCAACCTCTCCGAGATGATGGCACCAATGTCAAGTTTCTGCAGGAGTCGGCAAAAAATGTTCAACAAGCTGAGCAGGCATGTGAGGATACTTAATACTAAGCAGATATTTCAATTAACAAATGCAAAATTGAAACTAGTGCCAAATTAAAATTATTTATCATCATTATCAAATGAGTACTGGTGTATGGAGCTGAAACATGGAGAATAACAAAACCAATTTCTAATAATCTATAAACATTCATTAACTGGTGCCTGCGTGGAACAGAAGGAATTAAACAGCACAATAGAATCACTAAGGTAAAGCTCTGGGAGAGAACTAAATAAATTCATTAACTGGTGCCTGTGCAGAATAAAGGGAATTGAATGGTGTGATAGAATCACTAATATAAAGCTCTGGGAGAGAACTAAATAAATTCATTAACTGGTGTCTGCATGGAACAGAAGGAATTAAACAGCACAGAAGAATCACTAATGTAAAAAGCTCTGGGAGGGAACTAAATAAATTCATTAACTGGTGTCTGCATGGAACAAAATGAATTAAACAGCACAATAGAATCACTAATGTAAAGCTCTGGGAGAGAACTAAATAAATTCATTAACTGGTGTCTGCATGGAACAGAAGGAATTAAACAGCACAGAAGAATCACTAATGTAAAAAGCTCTGGGAGAGAACTAAATAAATTCATTAACTGGTGTCTGCATGGAACAGAAGTAATTAAACAGCACAATATAATCACTAATGTAAAGCTCTGGGAGAGAACTAAATAAATTCATTAACGGGTGCCTGTGCAGAATAGAGGGAATTGAATGGTGTGATAGAATCACTAATGTAAAACTCTGGAAGAGAACTAAACAAATTCCAGAGTCAAGAAGTGAGAAAAAGATACTGGTATTGGATACTCAGAAAGCCTGATGACAATATAACTAGCATTTCTTTGAACTGGAACCCACAAGGCAAAAAAAAAAATGAGACAAACCAAAAAACACAGAGAAGAGAAGGAAACTATAAAATAAAGTTAAAAAAGGATAGAATGGAAACGGGATGAGCTACAGACAACTGCAAAAGATAGGATGACTTGGTGTGAGTTGGGTGAGAACCTATATTCCATTGGGAGATAAACTGCAGAAGAAGAAGAAATCACTATAAGACTACGAAAACATGGTGGTTCACACATACACTATAATAAAAAGGTTTTATCAATTGATATAGCAAACCGTTACTCATTTCTGTCGCTCAGTGTTTGTAGAAACTATTCAGTTCCCAATGAAAATACAGTGCATGTATAAACTATTCATATTACACATCAATTATGCAGGAATTATTTATCCCAATCTTTGCACCTAAATTAAATTGTGTGGTGTTTTTTTTTTTCAAAGTTACAATTTCAGAACAGAACAAATGTTTTTCTAATTATAACTTCATAAATGTGCAAATCTTTGACAATTCTGACACCACTAGCCTCTGGCCCCTCTACCTTGGAGAACAGACCTCTTCTCAATCTTGTCACTGCTTGATACAGTATAAGAAACATGTGACATACCTGCGCCTCGGCCACGTCCGGGAATATGCTGTTCTCACTCTTCAGGGGCATCTGTGGCTCGGCTACATTTGGTACCTATAATATGTAGTGTTTTATTATTATTTGCATGCCATCACAGCAACTCACAAGAGAGCTGTGCATAAATGTCACTGTAAGGGTCTTTCTCTACGTAGCACAGATTAGACAGACAGGCTTCCACACAAAGTTTTACAGACACCCGACTGACTGTGTGGCACATAATAATAAATTGCTGTATATTTATTAACGTGACCCTAAGCTGCTTATCTTTCCTAGTCTACATTCTGTTCTACTTCCTTGCTACATGATCAACATGGCCAACCACAGAAAGCTGTACTTAAAGTTACTCCGAAATACTTCACGATACAGTTATCACACAGTCATTACACAACCGACCATTGTATGTCTTTAACACAACACAAACAATCAAGCAGTTGCTATTTTCCTTATTCACCTATGAAAAACGAAGAGCAATTTTAGGCAAAGTTTTGGCAAATGATTTTACAAAACATCAAAGAATCGACTGGTTGGTCCTCTGGTTAGAATGGAACAAAATGAGTCAACAGCGTGAATGTTCAACATGAGAACAGAAGGCTACAAGGCAAGAGGCTGACCAAGAAAGAAATGAATGGAGTAAAAGTTGTTCTTTTCTTTGTTTACCTCTAAATTTCCCTTGAAGGAATGTTTTTTAAAGAAATTTTTAAATTATCCTCTTATGTGCTTGTTTTTAAAAAAAATTTAAAATTCTGTGTTTTAGTTTACAGGTAGGCTGTGATATCTGTGCCTTTTGGCCCAAAACATCCGATTCAGCAAAACTATCATTTGTAGCCTTTTACTACATTCCTGTTGTATGTGTGTCTGTGGGGGGGGGGGGGGGGGGGGGGGGGAACCCACATAGGGAGTTGAGGGGAGTTGAGCTTTCTAACTTCATCTGTATGTAATCACATTTCCTAACTGTGTTGCTTGCATATCGCTGATAGTGAGTTCCCTACTGTTGACTTTTTTTCATCAACATGGGGTAGACTGAAAACAAGATGGAAAGATAACATCAGAAAAACTTTACAACAGTATGATATATCTATCGTTGAGGCAGCCAGAAGAGCAAGAAGCAGAACCTTGTATTTCCCTTAACACCCAAAGCAGTAAAAGAGGTGAAGAAGGAAAAGATGGCAATGTGTGTCACAGGGTTGCCTGTTTTATCAATGCTGTATTCGGCAGCTGACCTGTATTGCTGGAGCCTGTACTGATGCAGCTGGCTGTGGCATGGGGGTGGCTGGTCCTGCCTTCACCACAGGCACCCACTCAGACTCACTGGCTCGGTGGTGTGACCCACTGGACACAGGGAAGGTCAGTCGGAGTGTAGCCTGCTGGACTTGCTTTTCGGCTGGTGTCAGGACGGGCAACTGTTTTGCATTCTGCAGATAAATGTAGAAAATTTAATTAGCGAACACTAGGCATCAAACTGATTCAGGGGATGGGCATGCAATCAACACCAAACAGGCTGATGCTGAAATAAGGGCCTCCCCATCCATGATTAATCTCAACCATGTGAGGTCACCATCTACAGATGGCACAGTGATTCACGTGGTGCGGTCTGGATGGGCATTCACAATGCAGGCCAATGGAAAGACAGTAAAATAAGCAGACATTCAGTTCACTACTTCTGGTATGATGATGGAGGTAGCAGCTGTCACAGGGAACACTTGCATGGTTGGCAAATTAGAAAGACATTAGTGCACTGATATGACAGCCTGAAGAAGTATGCTTAAGAAGATCCAAACTAGCAGGTTCTGACCAGAATGGGTTGACAGCAGCCCCAAAAAACCTACCCTGGCTGTACACACCAGGATTCACCGGGGTGAAAGGAAAGAAACGAGTAGTGTCTGCAGCAGTCAGTGGAGGAAGAAGTTTGAGTGCTGCATTCAAGAGACATTGAGACAAAGGAGTCAGAAAGGATGACCTATATGTTGGAAATGGGTATTAAACGAGGACAAGCATGCCAAAACTGGTTGTGTGTCCAAAAGAAAGAAGATATGGCAGTCAACTCCTACTGGGTACGGTCTGTTGTATAAGGAGATGGAACACAAATAGGTCAGACTGATGTGCTAGGATGTTGATACAGACAAGTAACCAAATCTGACAAGTTACAGAAACCCTAGAAAAAAAAGTTATTTACTTTCAGTTGGCACCTTTCCATCTTTCCAGATGAAAGTGTTATTCTGTGCTACAAGAAGGCATGGGTATCAGAGTCCATGCCCTAAATGATTAAGGCCAGGAATGAAGCTTCTTCTCTCACAAAGCCTGGGCAGTATTTTGGAGACCATGTGTTGTCCCTGCAGGATGATCCCTCTCTCAGACTGCTTTTTTACTCCTAATTGTTTAAAGGTAACACCAATTTGTTTGAAACAAAGCAGGCTGCAAAAGCTGCTGGATTACAAGAGCAGCGCTGTCCGTCTGCTTGCCAGAGCTGCCAACCAAGACTAAAGGCCTGACCTGCCATAACATTATTTTCAAGCTGCATTTCCATGGCCGCGGGTAAGGCTAGAACCTCCTCAGTGTGGTACCTCAAAGTAGCCACAGACAAGACACATACATGAAGCCCTAGATAAAGGTCATACACTGAAAGGAGGAAGATATCGGATGGTGCAAGCAGAAAACACAATTAAACATGTGCACATGCTTGAGAATACTGGGTAAGGATAGGAATTGGTCAAAGTGTCCAAGAACAGTCAGACCTGTGTAGGATTCTAATCACACTGGGCCATTATTACAGGACTGGCCAGCGGGCACTGAAGATCAGAAATTAAACAAATGATTCATGACAATTCCTGTCTAAGTGACATGATTATCTATGCAGATAGCTCTGTGTTAAGAGCCAAAATAAGTTCAAGCGGATTCGTAGCAAAATCAAATGGACGATCCTTTTAGGGCAAAAAAAGCCTGCTATATGTTACCACTATGACTAATTTAAAAATGAAAGTGGAGGCAGTCACTGCAGCTTTGCGCTGGCTGGAGAACCAGCCACATACATATGTCGTGTTTGTAACAGACTTTCAAACTATGCTGAGATAGGCAGGTATGCTATGTGGAGACTGGCAAGCATCACTTCAGAGGTCTAACGCAGATAGCATCTTTTGGATATTTGTCCACTTACCCTTAAGTACTTCACAAAGGTAATGATGATGTCCACTTACCCTTATGTACTTCACAAAGGTAATGATGATGTCCAATTACCCTTATTTACTTCACAAAGGTAATGATGAACTCCACTTACCCTTATGTACTTCACAAAGGTAATGATGATGCCCACTTACCCTTATATACTTCACAAAGGTCATGATGATGCCCACTTACCCTTATATACTGCACAAAGGTCATGATGATGCCCACTTAACCTTATGTACTTCACAAAGGTAATGATGATGCCCACTTACCCTTATATACTGCACAAAGGTCATGATGATGCCCACTTAACCTTATGTACTTCACAAAGGTAATGATGATGCCCACTTACCCTTATATACTTCACAAAGGTAATGATGATGTCCACTTACCCTTATGTACTTCACAAAGGTAATGATGATGCCCACTTACCCTTATATACTGCACAAAGGTCATGATGATGCCCACTTACCCTTATATACTGCACAAAGGTCATGATGATGTCCACTGACCCTTATATACTTCACAAAGGTAATAATGATGTCCACTGACCCTTATATACTTCACAAAGGTCAAGATGATTTCCACTTACCCTTATATACTTCACAAAGGTAATAATGATGTCCACTGACCCTTATATACTGCACAATGGTCACAATGATGTCCACTTACCCTTATATACTTCACAAAGGCAACAATGATGTCCACTGACCCTTATATACTTCACAAAGGCGATAATGATGTCCACTTACTCATTTATAGTTCATAACAGCACTGATCATGTCCCCTTACCCATGTATATTCCACAAATGTAATGGCGATGTTCACTTATCCTCGCATACTTCACAAAAGTAATGATTATGATGTTCTTTTTCTTCAGCCCTTTATTCCCCAGTGGAGCACAGACCCTCAACAACTCAAGCCAAGTTGTCCTATTCTTTGCTACTGCATGCAGATCTCCATGTCACCCTAAATATTTAACCTCGCTCTTAAGCTCCCATCTCCGTGTGTAATTTGGTCTGCCGTTACTTCTATGCCCATGTAGGTTAGGATACTTTCCCATAATCTTGGTTCCTAACATTCCCGATCCGGACTTCTTTTGGCTTTCTCCGCACTACGTTATCATTCTTCTATTAGAACAGCCTCCCTCCATCTTGGCTGACTGGGAATTATTTGGTTCCCTGAGTTTTCCATGGTCTGTGGCTAATGTTTTTGTTTTTTTAACTGGAGAACGTAGCCAACCCAAAGCCCAAACCTAGGTGAAATTACATTTATTTCCCTTAAATACTTTACAAAGGTAATGGTGATGTCCACTTACCCTGATATTCATCACAATCCCAGTGGAGCTGGCTTCCTTCACTTTGAACGGGTGATGTATCAACATGTCTTCCTCATCACTCTTTTTTGCTGCTTCCTCATCACTGCTGTCTTCGGTGCCATTGTCTGCTTTGCTTTTCTCTGATATTCTTTTGCAGAACTCTGATCAAAGTTAAAACAGAGACAACTGAAACACAAGTTTCCATCACGGTTCCGGGGCTCCACTGGGGGTGAGGGGGCGGGGCGAGAGAAAAGACCAACTGCCCCCCCCCCTCCATGCATGTTGTAAAGCACAACTGATTAGAGGTGTTTCTTTCATAGCCATAATGCATCTGACAGAAAGGCGAGCAACCAATAGTCTGCATACAAATAAGCCAGATCTGTAAAACAGATGTGCAGTTAAAATGCAGACTCTGGAACGAGACTTAAAGTCTAGAGAGCTTTCTGCCAATGAGTGCTAAAATGAAGAGGCACGTGTTTTATGATCACTTGATGATTGTTTTAAGATTGTAGCATGATTACAGCATGATTACCTTAAGATTACAACAGTACTGTAACTTCAGAATACTGAAAGAACCAAAAATGTTTCAATAAAGTTTACTGACTACTTACTGTTTTTATTAACTCTTGAGTCCCAAGGAATGCACCACACGCCATTTGGTTACAACACAGATGATGTATAATTTGTGCATGTTGCTCAGCAGCTGAATGGTCCATTTTAATGTGTAACATTTGTGAAATTACAAAATTGCATTACACCGCTTGGGCCTCTGATGCTAATCCCCCTGGACTCAAAGAGTTAAAATAGTTTCAGAGCAACAGAAACAGCAAAACATTTCCATTTACACTGTGGGTCATGCGGTCAAACAAGAGCACACAAATATTTCCTCATAACTGTTCTAGGTTAGACAATTTGGCAGCTCAGATACATTTTAAAAAACCTGCCTCAATGGGCATCGGCAGGCAAGTAGAAGTGCCACATGTAAACAAAATCAATACATTTCAAACAGAGCAGAAATCTGGCAGACTATTTGCAAATGTTATCACAGTAAAACACTGTTAACAAACTAATAAAAAATATTCAGTTAACAAGAAAAAAAAAATGTTGGTCCCAGCAATGATGTATTACTGTTATTAGTTAGCATTTTTTTTTTTTTTTGGTTAAACTAAATTTTAGGTCCCTTGAAGTCATTTTAAACAAGGTTTTACTGTAGCAGTTTCTAACTTTATGGTATTGCTCATAATAAAATGAAAAGAGCATTTTGAGGTGGGATAATCAGTTAGAAGATCAATCTCTCAAGTCTGCAGATATTGGTCACCTTTTCTGTTCCAGTGGTGCCTAAACTAACACCATGCTGTCCAATAACATACCATAAATTGCAGTGTTTAAGTTGAGTTATCAAGAATAAAACATTTCCTAAGCTAGGGGTCGATTTATCTGGCTGGTAAAAAATGTGTTAGTTAGGCCTGACTGAGAATTCTGAGCTACGTTATGTTATATTCTTCTTCATAAAGTCCATGCCGTGTGGCACTGGTAGTCATGTCTATCGATAACTTTTGTATTGGGTTACTTTCAATTAACTCTGATACAGATGATCTTCCATGTCATGATGTCAAACTGTCCAGCATGTTTTCTCTCGGTCTCTCTCTGCCCATCATCCCCTCCAACTTTCCCACTACTTTTTTTTTTTTTACTATTCATGTTATGTTATGCTATCACAATTTGCCATCAGTGCCCATTAAGTATTCCCATGGGTGTTTAGTCATCTGAATGCAGCAGCCATCCCATTCAACTTCTACTGACTGTTCGCAAGATAAGTTGGTTTTAGTATCTACTGTCTTGCTCCACCAAGCTTTACTCCCAGGTCATGCAATCATTTTTTCTGTTTATTCTGAACTACAAATCTGGAGGTTGGCTTGTACACCATGTCAACCAGTACGTCACAAATTTATGATATGTACAAGCTGCCGCCCTGTTTCATATAAAGAATTCCACTTGACAACCCAAAAGAATGAAGGAACAGTTTGCTGATGTCACCAAATACTAGACATGGTGATAGGTAAGTTAACACAGACATAGGATTGTTTGGAATTCTTTTGGTTGTTGCCTGTTCAAATGATTACTAAGATGTGTATTTTATTAAAATCCACTTACTGGTCTCAACTAGCAATGTAGTTTTTAGGATTTGGCCTAACCACACAGCTGCAGATGGCCTACCCCCTTTCCCTTTTTTCCTCCTAGTGTATGTCAGATCATTAACTAGGCTCCTTTGCCACTGATATAACCACCTACCGAGAGAACCCTCAGAGAGAACCCTTGTTACCTGTTAGCTCCTCCACGGACTTGCCTCCACTTTTGACTAGGGTCAGATCCAGCTGGGGCCCCTGTCCAGCCTTCATATTCTGTAAAGCGTTGGCTCTGCGGAGATATAAACAGTCACTTGTGACTACAAATGTACGGTAAGATACCAACAGAGGATAACTAAAGATTCATTGTGACTACAATCTACTAACCAGGACAACTAAGGATTCAAACTTTTTTTACTACAAACATGAGGGAAGAAAGATAATTAAAGATACCAACTATTTTATTACAAACATGAGGGAAGAGACATGCATAAGATAACTAAAGTTACAAACTTGTAACATAAACATGAGAAAAGAAATATAAATAGAGGATAACTATAGATACAAACTGTTTTACTATAAACATGAGAGAAGAAAGATAAATAAATTATATGTATAGATAACAATTATTTTACTACAGATATGAAGGAAGATAACAATAGATAAAACTTTTTTGCAATAAATATGAGGCAAAAAATTATAATTACAGATACAAACTATTTTATTATAAACCTGAGGGAAGAAATTTACATGAAGAATAACTATTCTACTATATCACTGCTTGCTGTGATGTACTGTATGTTGGCATCCGCATTATATGGTCAAACCTTTTCACTTGTTTCCTAATGAAAACCAGAGCTGCCACTAACCCAATTTATTTTCAGATTTCATCTTTTCTGATCTCTCTTCTTGTTATGTCGACTCTGTGGCTAAGTCGATGCTAACACTTCGTAATGCCGGGATGCCAGGTTCGATCCCAGCTGCGGGTCATACGCCTTGCGTTGGTTTTGACAGTGGTATCAAGAAAGCCAACCGTCCAGAAAGCAATGGCAAACTACTGGACGTAAATTTGCCTTTAAAAAACCACGCAACAGCCAGGGGCTGTTGGGGTTGGTTCTGCAACGTCCTGTAAAGGATACGCAACTAACCTTCTTGTTATATTAACAGCCCTTCTTGTTATATTAATAGCCCTTTTAATTTCAGTTTCTCTTTTTCTGTCATTGGCCAGGTCCGGCATTGATAGCACAGGGTTGGCAAGAAGACTGTGTCACAGAGTGCTTTTCTGGTTTCTAACATGTTCATGTCTTAGTATTGATGCCATTTGCCCAAAAAGTTGGTGTGCCCTGTTACATTTGTCATCTCATCTTCTGGTTTGCCAGTTGATGATATTATGCTTTCCTAAATATTTAAAGTTCTTGGTTTAGTTCAGAGGCTGTTCTGTCAGCTGGATATTTATTTGTGTCTGCTTCAGTTATGGTCATGATTTCAATGTTGTTGGCGTTAATTTTCATGTTATGCTTTTTGCACACTTGGTTTAAATGATTTATATGGTCTTGCGGTTCAGTTTCTGAAGTAGCAATTTGTGCCTGGTTGTCCGCAAATAGTAGTTCTTTGATGAAAGTGTTTGTCTTTTGATCTTTGATCTTCTTCTACTTGGAGTATTTTAGTTCTTGTTTGGTTGTTGTTTTTTTTACTGATGTTAACTCATGATTGAGTGGTCTCGAGGCATAGCATCTGCCTCGAGTGAGGAGGTCCTGGGTTCAGGCCGGGATTTTTTTTCGTGGACTCCTAGTATTTCCCCTGGTCTCTCGGTAGTAAGATCGGACGTCCATTTATATTGCTGCTTGTGTAAAAAATCCCTTGGCAGTTGGAAATTGAAAAGAGTAGCCCAGAAAAAATTTGGAGTTAAAAATCTACCTAAAGTATTTCAGAATCCTCAACTGTGCTTCAAAGTTCGTGAACTGCATCAAGATTCTTCGGACTCAGGCTTGAGTTAGAAGAAGAACGGAGCACTTATGGGTTACTACCCTTGTGCCATGATATTGATCCGTTGTTTAAACCTAAACCTTTACTGATGTAAATCAATGACAGCTATGAATAGTATGGGAGATATGACACAGTCCTGCCATACTTGAGATTCTATGGTGAATGATTCTGAGTGTACTCTGTTCTAACAGTATATTCCTGTTGTTGTTTTATAAGCTTTTACAAATATTTATTAGATGTGTGTTCACACCGTAACTTTTAAGGATTTTTCTAAGCCTGTTTCCATCTTCTCTGTCAAATGTCTTTTCTTGGTCAATGAAGGCTAAATTTATTTCTCTAATAGTTGTGTGACAGCAAAGATGGCATCTGTGCATCCCATGTTCTTTCTACATTCTAGCTGCACTTCAATTAGCTGGGGATCAATTATAGATTATAGTCTTTTCTCAAAAAAATTTTCAGAACTGTTTCCCGCTGCGACTCAAGAGAGAGATACTTCTGTACTGTGTGCAGTTTCTTTCACTGCTTTTTTTTTTTTTTTTATATGCCAATGTGTAGGGATACATTAGTCCTGTGTTTCTTTTCTAGCCTGAGGTAATTAGCCATGTTTAGTCTTCATTTACCCCTGAAGTTCTTTTTCACTTTCTAACCATGGAGGACAGAATACAAATGTTGAGCATGTGCCTACCTCAGAGTTAGTGCAGACATACAACACCTGAATTACATGTTTGTTTTTTAAGGCAGCAGGTTAAAAAGAGAAAAATCATGGATGGGTTGGGCAGAGTACATTATTCAGCAGAATGCTGAGGACATAGAACTGATGAGGAGTAGGTACAGACATAGAACTGATGAGGAGTGGGTACAGACAAATAACTGATGAGGAGTGGGTACAGACTTAGAACTGATGAGGAGTGGGTACAGACATAGAATTGATGAGGAGTGGGTACAGACATAGAACTGATGAGGAGTGGGTACAGACATAGAACTGATGAGGAGTGGGTACAGACATAGAATTGATGAGGAGTGGGTACAGACATAGAACTGATGAGGAGTGGGTACAGACATAGAACTGATGAGGAGTGGGTACAGACACAGAATTGATGAGGAGTGGGTACAGACATAGAATTGATGAGGAGTGGGTACAAATGCCAATAGTGTTGTACGTCCTATTCTCACGTATCCTGCTAGACAAAAAATGCAGACAACAAAGCATGGCTGGTGCTGAAGTAGAAGCTCAGACTCTGATTTTCGAGAATTCTCTAGAAGAGAATGCTGTCATTCACAAAGATGGGTCTGTTGTTCGCCACATGAGAAGCTCATGGAATTTTATGCCTGGGGTTGGAGAAAAGTGGATAGACAGAAGAATAGTTCTGAAGAGGTTACGTATGAAAATAGAGATGTTAGATAAATTAAAAAGAGACAGCCGAGATATTTTTGTCACATTAAAAGACAAAACTCTTTTAAAAACCATACTGCAGGGAAAAGTTTAAGGCAAGAGGCAGACAATGATACAAGTGGGAGGACAACATCAAGAGATGACCAAGCAGCAGTCTGAGAGAGGAATGTGTTGGAGATCCATTGCAGTCAACTTTCACTGTGGAGACGGCAAATGGCTGGTGACTACTTACATGGCAATTTTCCGTAGTCTGGCTTTATCAATCTTCATCCGCAAGTCTCTTTCCTTGCTTTCTTTGCTTCGGTCTCTCTCGCGGGACTTGCTTCTATCTCTTGACCGTCTGTGCCTATCTTTAGACCTACTGCGAGAACGTGTGCGGAATCTAGAATGGTCATCGCTGTAATGCCTGGCATCCCATTCACCATAGCGACCACTGTAAGAAAATCAGAGATACAAATATATTTTATAGTTGGCTTATTAACATTTTTCAACTTACTTTTTCTTCTTCTTAATAATGTTCATCAGAAGTAAATTCTGGTGGAAAGTTCTGGTTGTTCGTCCGCTTCTCGACTTTGGTCTTAGTTTGTATGCACATCTGCTTTACATATATGACTTATTGATATGCTCACTGTTGGTTCCTTACTTCTCAGGCAGATGCACTGCTGCTTCAAAGGGTACGCCACTGATTAGTCACTTTTTACAACATGCTTACTAGATGGGCAATGGGTCTATTCTTTCCCCCAAAAAATGGGGCCCCACAACCCGCAAGGGGATTATGTCTTCACAAGACACACAAATCTTATACTTTCTGTTTGCATGTCCTCAGGAGGTCCAATAGTGCATTACTGAGGCCCAGAGAGAAAGCAAAGAACAGTAATACTGCATCCAGCCAGACATGTCATAAGAGGTGACAAAGGGGTATGTTTGGGCATGGTATGTGAATTACAACTGATGACTACCAGGTCAAGAAGAAAGCATGTTAGCAATTGTGACATCATGACTTCCATATGAGGCCGATCGTTTTTTTTTTCTTCTTCTTCTTTTTGTGATCTTATTGATACCAGGTTGTAGCCCAGCGCCGTAGTTTTCTGTATTTATCTTGCACTTCTCGAATGGTCTGGGTGGTGAATTTGTTTATCTGTTTACATGTTTCAGCTATCCCATTTATCCATTTCTTTCTTCCAGATGTTCTGCTGTAAGAAGTCTCATATGCAGTTTGGTCTGGCTGCATTCTCACTAGATAGCTGAACCACTTCATTCTTTGTCTGTCAATTTTTTTTTTTTAAATATCCAGAAGCCATGAGTTGTTAACCCTTTGGCTCGGTACTATGGATATTACAACCCTTCAGCCTTGATCCATGATTGGTACCGTAAATCTTGGAGAAAATGTGGCTTTTCTGCCTACCCCCGGGAGTGAACCCGGACTACAAGGAGTTTGTCACCCGGTCACCACGCAGTTTGATTTAGCCAACCACACTAGAGAGCCGGGCCTTTGTCTGTCAATATAATGCAGACACGGTCTTAATTCCAACTTGCTCTTTAATGCTGGCATTCGTAACCCTGTCTCTTCTTGTGCTGCTAGTGACCTTATGGAGACAGTGCATTTCGCAGGTAGTTATTTTCTGTTCTAATGCCCTATTCACTGTCCTTCTTTACTGCTTGTATTTACCACTCTGTTATGACCGGTCCCAAGCCAGGCTGAAAAATGAGGAAGGCCTGGTTCAACCTGAGTGCTTCATGTGTCTCCGGAAGTAGTAGGTAAAACTGTGAATAAACCAGACGGCCTGCATGGAGGCAGCTCCTCCACCATGCAAAGGCGCAACAGACAAATCACCTATCAGCCGCAAACTAAGATAACAAGTTATCACCCATAACACTGGATGGATCTTAATTGTGAAAAATTGCAGATAGAAAAGTCTGGCGATCACTCTGGTAAACCTCTACACCTCAGGATAAAAGAGGATTGACTAAGTAAGCCAAGTATTTATCATTTTCAGGGTGGTGAAGGATGGGGAGTTGTGAAGGATGGGGAGTTATGAGCGTAACGATTTAAAGTTCCATGGCTAGTGCATTCACCAAGAATGGTGCAGGTTAGGACCTTTATTTGTGCTCCTTTTTCCCCCACATAAAAAAAATCTCCATACATTGCAGAGGTAACCATTCGGCCAGCAGCTTCTCTCCAAATGAGACTGAACCACAGATTATTTTGCTAGCAAAAGCTTTCATGGCTACCCTACAAGGCAAACTGGGAGAGACCTGGAAAGACTTAAGGCCCACCGTTGTGTATATGACCCAGGCCAGAACAGACAAAGCAAACACAAGTCAGTGAGGCAGATGATGTGTGTGAAGAAAATGATAATAATAAAAAGCAAACTGAAATAATCTGATAATGACCCATATTAATAACATGTATTTCAGAACTGACGTAATTAATTCCCCCCCTCCCTCCCCTTTTTTTTAAAGGAGATTACACAAGCGTAAATACATACACCATTGATAACAAATTAAAATAAAACATAAATACATCGTACCTTCCATGACTTTGCGGTGAGCTGGAGCGAGAGCGGGATCTGTGTCTTTTTGGTGACTTGGAGCGGGATCGAGTTTTTGATTTTGATTTTTTGTGCCTTTTTGGAGACCTGGACCTGTAACAGAATCCATGATTGACATCCATAGAAAAGAAAAGAGGACACAGCTGTAAGGTTGTAACACTGACTGCAATTTCCACTGAACTGGTTGTCAATAAGCATCACAATGTTAATGCTTGATGCATTTCGTTCAGTTTCTGTTTGTTAGACTTTTCAGTTAGATCTTCAATCTCCTGCCATAGTTTATACACATACTGAACATCTCAGCACTGCACATAAATCACAATATAGGCAATTATATAAATATGTGTATACCAGAATTATACGTGCTATACATTCTTTGGTGAGTAGTTTCACAATACTGAAATATAGCCTCGGAGGCCTTTTATTTGGGTCTGCCATTTTTTTTTAGTCTACTGATATTCCCAACCAGCTGACCTAATGTAAGTAATAACCATCTGATTAAAGACAATTCAATAATACTTGTATCACTTGACTAAACTTGAAATGAAACATAAAATTTATCTGACTAAATATAAAGTAATGATACTAATAAATATGTGACAGTAAAGGCAAAGAAATGTTACTATCAGGTAATCAAATGCTACTACCAAGTGCCTAACTATATGTAAAGTAATAATACCAACTAATTATATAAAACCAATCACAAAACAAATGTAAAAGTAAATGTAATGATACTGGCAACTACATAACTAAATGTAAAGTAATGATACGGTCAACTAATAGGCTAAATGTAAAGTAATGATTCTGTCAATTATATGACCAATTGTAAAGTGATGGTCACATCAACTACATGACTAAACAAAGAGTAATGATACTGGCAACTGCAAGACTAAATGTAAAGTAATAATACTGTTAAATGCATGACTAAATGTAAAGTATTGATACTGCCACACCTGATTAAATGTAAAATCATACTGCCTCCAATCATTTGCCCAAACAGACAAACAATGTTGCCCTCAAAGATATCTACCACTGTCTCTTACCTAGAATTGGATCTCTCTCTTTTCCTGTCTGAATCTTTTTTCTTTTTCTTCGACTCATGAACTTGCTCTGAAGATCTGTGTTTACTTTTTGAATGTTTTTCACCCTCTTCTTTTGTCTGATCTTTCTCCACTTTCTTATCATCTTTATCCTTGCTACTCCTTGCATCTTTGTCATTTCCTTGATCATTTTCACTTTTTTCCTTATCCTTATCCTCCTCATCTTTGCTCTTTCTGATGTCTTTTTCTGCATCCTCCTTTGATGATTTCTTTCTCTTCTTCTTGTGCTTATGTTTATGTTTCTTCTTGTGCTTGGAGCTCTGTGACTTCCGGTCCTCACTGTTGGAATGTATAGATCCGGAATCAGAAGGAAAGCCCTCTCCGTCTGACTCGCTGGCTTGATCTTTTTTGGAGGCCTCACTGCCTGAGGAGCACACTTCGCCTGAGGATGAGACAAACGTGAATAAAATATAAAACAATCCTTTTAACTTATTTTTCTCCAACAATATTACATTTACCTCCAACATTCCAAATCTTACCATTTGTCTAAGACCCTCCTCCCAAACATTTCCCTCTAACTCTCTCTCCTCTCACACATTTACACTGTTTTCTAACTTACCTTCCTCCCACACATTTACACTGTTTTCTAACTTACCTTCCTTCCACACATTTACACTGCTATCTAACTTACATTTCTCCTAAACGTTCTCATCGCTGCCTCACTTACCTCCCTCCCAAACCTTCCCTTCTAGCCTACCCATATTGAACTCTCCTCCCTCTTACTTTTCTTTTCTCTCATAAATTCAACTCTCCTCCCTCCCATTGCTTTGTATTTAACTTTCCTTTCTCCAACACCTTGCCACCTCTCCTTCCTCTATAGAAGGTAATGAGGGGTTGGATCAAATGACGAGCAATACACAAGAAATGCACAGCTACTGAAAGGAACACCAATTTTTGACAGTGCATTTTTGTAATGCAAAGAGTGAAATTACTCAATTTCACACAAGAATACCTTAGTGTTCCACCAATCAACTGACACTTTTTTGGGGGATCTGGGTCATGACAATTTTAGGCGTTCGGCCTTTCCCGTTAGTATGGTGTGGCCTCCTCTTGTGTGGATCAGTGACTTGGAATCTTCTGGGCATGAATGCGATCACATGTCTGATGTGGGCCTGTGGGATGGATGCCCACTCTTCCTGGAGTGGCATGGAACAGATTACCACCATTGGTTGGAGCAATGTCTCAGTGACAAACATGTCTTTGCAGCTCATCCCCCAGATGCTCAATCGGACTCATGTCTGCAGACAGGGAAAGGGTTTAAATGTTACTGGCAGCCAGGAACTGCGTGGTCAACCGTGCGGAATGGGGTCAGTGTTGTCCTGTTAAAAAAATATCTGTTGGTATCCAAAATTGAAGGACATGTGGTTGAAGAATTTCAAGGACGTATCATTGCGCATTCAAGCTTCCTTTAATGTGCACCAATGGACTTCTTCCATTGTAACTGATCTTTTCCCACACCATTACACCTCCACCACCATGCATCAGAGCTTCATCAACACAATTTTGGGCTAAACCTTCATTTCACCAATGGTAGACCCTACACCGTCTATCATGATGCTGCAACGAAAAGAAAGAATCTGCGTTGAACCAGACATGTCTCCACTGATTACCACCTGCCCAGGGATGATGCTGGTTGCCCAAAGAGGTCGATTTTTTTTCTGCGGCGATGCCTAAGGACAGGTCCATGATGTGGACGTCGTGCCCAAAGTCTAACGTCATGCAATCTCTTCTGAACAATTTAGACACACGACGTCCCGGATACAAAGCCTGCGCAGTTGAGG